TTTCCCTACTCTTTGTGACACCTACAGGGCTGGCATTTGGGAAGGCTGAGAGGCTCACCTGGGAGCAGGTCTCCTGAGTCTGCTCCCTGAGCTGTGTTGTCTCTGGTCGGGAGGCCGGGGGGAGGAGGAGGCTTATGTCTTTGAGGCCTTCTAGGCTAGCGTGTCCCTTTGCCTTTGGTCCCTTGGTCCCTGGTTTGGGATATGACGACCTGTGAACCGTGGAGTTATGGTTGTGTGTGCGGTGTGTCTGGAATAAACACCAGCAACTTGGGCAGGGTCTGGGGAGAAGCTGACCTCTGGGTGGGCAACTGGGTCCCCAGGTGGGGACTGGTTCATGCAACTCCACATGCCTAGTCTCCCCTCTAGTGTGTGGGGAGAAGCAGCAACGCTCACCAAGTTTCTTGGCCCCTCAGCTCTCCAAGAGGGTGAAGAAGGTGTGGAAGCCCCAGCTGTTCCAGCGTGAGCTTTACAGTGAGATCCTGGACACCAGGTTCACCGTGACCGTGACCATGCGCACCCTGGACCTCATCGACGAGGCCTATGGGTTTGACTTCTACATTCTCAAGGCAAGCAGATCTGCACCACGCTGGGGTTCCTTGTGAGATGTAAACGGGACCATGTCCCTTTCTGGGCAGCCCCAGTGGGAGTCCATCACTGTGGACGGCCATCTTGCCCATGTGGCCAAGGGAGCACAGCTGCCTCCTTCTCTGCTCTTAGACCTTCCTCGCCTCCGGTCTGGGTGCTGGGGCTGCCCACCTGGCCTAAAGTGCTCCACCAGGCTGGCCTGGGGGCTGCCAGCTGCTGGGGAGGAAGCTGGAACGGCCGGCTGGTGGGGTGGGCAGGGCCCTGCCCGCAGCACCTGGTCCCATGCAGAGACTCTTGCCAGACCCCGAAGGAGGACCTGTGCTCCAAGTTTGGGATGGACCTGAAGCGAGGGATGCTGCTGCGGCTCGCCCGACAGGACCCCCAGCTGCACCCAGATGACCCCGACAGGAGGGCAGCCATCTACGACAAGTACAAGGTCAGGGCTCCAGCCTTTACTTACTGCTCCTCGTGGGCCCCCCTGGCCGGCTGCCTGACCCTGACCTCACCTGCGAGCCCGTCTCTGTCTGCCCAGGCGTTTGTCATCCCGGAGGCAGAAGCCGAGTGGGTTGGCCTGACGCTGGACGAGGCCGTGGAGAAGCAGAGGCTCCTGGAAGAGAAGGTGAGCGTGTGTGAGCACCAGCTACCCTGCCCTCTCAGGAGTGGGCACAGCTGCCAAGCAGCAGCCCCTGGGGTGCGTTGACAGGGGCACTGGGTGGGCTTGGGGAGGCACTGCTGCCCAGCGGTAGCCATGGGCTGTGGTCTCCGCGTGGCCCACTCCCTCCCCTCCAGGTCCTGACTCTCTCCTGCCCCCAGTGGCTGGTTTCATGGATGGGAAGATGGATAAGAGCTGGATGCTTGGCACCATCGATTTCTGTGGCCACCTAGTATTCCCCAGGGTCTGCCCAGTACTGCACTGAGGCCTTTTGTGTCTGTCCCCTAGAGGAGTCTTTAGCGTGTGATAGCTGCCAGGACAGGGGGCCCGTTGCAGCTGCTGCCCCTTCTCTCTGCCCGGAGTCTCTGCAGCCAAGGCCCCTGCGGCCCCTCTCCCACGAACAGAACACTGTCCTCTGGGCTGGGGTCTAGCGGATGGCAAGTAGCCTTGCTTGACCCCGTGGCCAAGCCGGAGGGGCCTGGTCCTCTCATGCTCGATTCCTCTCGGTGTCTGGTCAGGAGCTGGATCCCCACCCTCCCCAGAGCGCCTCACTGTGACCTGCCTTGTCTCTCTAGGACCCCGTTCCTCTGTTCAAGGTCTACGTGGAAGAGCTGATCGAGCAGCTTCAGCAGCAAGCGCTGTCTGAGCCGGCAGTGATGCAGAAGAGAGCCAGCAGGACGTAGCCGCGCTGGGACCTGGACCTGGCAACCAGGCTCAGCACCCTGCCCCCTTTGGCACCGTGGACAGAGCCTGGGGTGGTGGTGAGGGCCACCCATGGTCGTGTGTGCTGGCCATGCAGCTCCCGGGTGGGGTGGGCTTTGTGGAGGCCCCAGGAGGTCTCTTGTCCCAGGATCCCCAGAGGCCAGGGGCCCTCTCGCTGCCTCTGTCCCCCTCTCCCCGCAGTGGAGGCCCTGCCAAGGCAGGTCACCACCCTCGGGGGACAGTGTGAGTAAAGTCTGAGCTGGGCTGTGTGTGTGCTGCTTTGCTTAGAGGATCAGGCTCACCCTATGCCTCAGAGACCCAGGACGCAGCTGAGGTGGGTGGTGGTCCCTAGGTGTGCAAGGTTTTGGTGATTTTCTCTTCTTTGGGAGAACCCAGCATTGTGGGAGGCATCCTAGGATAGAGTAGGACTGTGCTCGCTCCTGCTTATTGCACATTGCCTGGAACGTTCTCTAGAGCAGAGACCTGGTGCTATGCTCTGGCTCTGGGAGTGGCTGTATGGTGTCTGCACCAGCACTGCCTTTGGGGTGGCGAGCACCCCCCCAGCTCTGGGAGATGCAGGGGCTCCAGAAGGTGCTGCTGGTGCCAGTGTCTCGCAGGGAAGGCCTTGAGTCTGGAGCTTCTGTTAGCACCTCCCTGTCACAGTCCAAAAGGAGGCAGAAGTGACATGGCCTGTGGGGCCTGTGACACAGATGTTCTCTCTTCAGCTGACCCAGACCTGAACTTGGGTGGGGATGTGGCCCCCAATGGGAGACTGGACCACGCATCTGAGGCCTTTCCTGCTCTGAGATTTGGGGGTGGCATGACCCTCTTTGCTGACCCTACCTGGAAGTCCTGAGCACTGAGACCCATTTGGGTCTCTCTGAGAGGACACAGGTGGATTCCCCTGACCTTGTCCTGGCAACTGACTGAGGGGCACCAGGCTCCCCTGAGGGAGCCGTGGGAGTGATGCCACCTGGGCTGTGCTTATGGGGTGGGAGGCCATAGGGAGCATGCAGCTGGCCAGTGGGCATGGCTGCAAGAGGGCCCTGGAGGCTCCATGGCTTGCAAGGAGGTCATCCAGGATTGGGGGCTGCCTCGGGGTCAGAGCCCTGGGGGGAATGCCCCAGAGGTCACCAGTCCCAGTCTCCTCCGGGGACGCCTTGAGACCCCACGTGTCCTCATCCCTATTCTCTGACCGTTTTAATTTTTTAAGAATTTTACCAAAAGCTGATGATGTCCAGCTCACGCCTGGCCCGGCTCTGTGGGCTGGCAACGCCCAGCCCAGTTGTCTGACTGCTGGTGCTCTGGGTGGGCCAGTCTCCCCAGCTTCCACCTCCTGGTTCCCTCCCACATTCAGGATCCCCTTTCTGTGCCCCGCCCCCCTTCCCCC